TTAGTTGGGATTGCTGTTGTCTTGTGTTTTTGGTTTGTGGTTGGGGTTTTTCTTCGTATGTTTTGGTACTTCTCATGGTCAATGTTTTAAAAATCAATAAAAAAATTGTTTTCTTAAACAAAAAAAAAAAAAAAAAAAAGGAAGAAGGAAACAAAAATGCTAATAATATGTGTTTCAAGAGGTAAACAACTTCTCTTTGAGGAACAAACAAGAAGGAAAGCTTTGGGCTCAGATTAATTCCTGAAAAGGGGATAAATATTGGAAGAAAAAGACTTGAAGAAATAATCAGAATTTCAGAAAACTGTACGCTTAAGAATCAGGGCAGTAGATTCTTCAGGAGAGAGTTGGTTGGATCATTCAGTCTGCGGTGGTTCAAGGGATCTATTCTTACTCAGCATCTTCTGAAGGTTATGGAGTCTTGATATAGTGGGGATGACAACAACTTTGAAGATGCTCGGAGCCTTTTGTATGGATAAATCAAACAATTTTCTCAATTTCACCCCGAGGACTAGAAAGTTTTGGTCAAGACTGTTGATAGGAAGGCTGTCTTCAACATGAATTATGTAGACTAAGAGGAAGTTGGGTAAAAGCAGGGGTGCAGAATTTGTAATGAATAAGTAGGTATAATGTTTGTTATTAGTAACTTGTAAAGGTAGGGATGACATTTTGTGATACAAACAATATGTAGCCTGTCGGGGAGTTTGTTAGGAAATAAGTAAACTGTGAAGTGGAGAGGTAGGGAGGCTGTGAGTAGTAACTTGGCGAGAATTCGTCGGAGTAAACTCTAGAGTGAGGGAGAGATATTAGACCTTTTGAAAGTCTGGCCAAATTCTAACTATGTGAGTCGTTTCTTAGAAGGATCTATGTAAGGTGTTATCTGTAGCTATTGTTTTTAATATCTTGATACGACTTTCCTTTTTTTCATATTTTTCTTGTCTTGTGGTTTCATCTCATCTCAAATCAGATATTGGAGATGCTTTGAGATTAAGGACCTACCATGAATTATTACCACTGGGTGAATAAATATTGATTTAAATCCTATTGATCCATCAACTTTTAAATTTATTATGTTGTTTTTAGTTCACAGCTCATTTGGTTTTTCTCCCTTCTCTCAATTCAATGAAATCCAGGTTTAACCACAAGACGAATGCTGAGGATGTACACTTTACGTTGGTGTCTTCTGACATTGAGTCTGATAATAGTTCCGTCCACCTAAATGATGTACATCCATATGACGAGTCTAAATCCTGGAATTCTCCTTTGGATGAAGCAGGGTCCGATTCTGTTCTAACTGAGGCAAACAGTGCCTATGATATTAACTCAGACTCCTCTAGTCTTGGAGGTGATCCTACAACGCTTGAGATGATTATGGTGAAAAATGTCAAAGCTGGCGATGAGGTAAGATTTCAGTCCCTCTGTTAAATGAAACATTTTTCTTTAGTATAGATATATTGATGTTTCAGCGGATTTATGTGGATGACATCGATGACTGAAAACCGAGAAATCCATCCCAAGTAAAGGAGAGAACTCCTGAAGTTAAGGGAACACTCCTCTAGAACACTTTGTACTGAATAATAATGTCCAAAAGCCCTGATGCAATTCTAAAAGTGGCTATTTATAGCCTTACAAGAAAATAGGGAAATACTCGAATCAACCACTTAATTAAAGCTATCTATACTAAATGCGTTGGAGAATCTTGACCATATTCTTTGGAGGTGCCAGCTTGCTCAATCGTTATGGGAGTAGTTTTTGGATTTTTTCGGAGTCTTTTGGGGTGAGAAACAGAGATTACAGAGCAACAGTGGAGGATGTGTTGCTGTATCACCCTTTCGGAATAAGGGCAGAATTCTTAGGTGCAGACATGTTTTTTTTTTGCCATCTGGTGGGGATATGGATTGAGAGAAACAATAGAGAGCTTTTAGAGGGTTAGAAAGGACCGGAGAGGCTACATGGGAACTTACAAGGACCCTTACTTACAAAGGAATTAAGTTTTATAACTATCAGTTAGGTGTTATTATTGTGGATTGGAACCCGCAGGCTTGACCTTTTTTTTAATGGCATTGTACATTATTTCTTTCGTTTGTCTTAATGAAAACTTGATTTCTTATAAAATAAAAAGCATATCTATACTATATATAAAAGGTGCTATCGAGGATAAATTTCCCCCCATTTTTATTTATTTATTTATTTTTTCAGTTTTTCACTATGGTTTCAGTTTTATTTACAAAATATGCATACCCTTTCATATTACCCATTTTATTGTTTTTCTTTTTCTTGTAAAGACTACATTTTTTTTTTGGTTTCATATTGAAAAATTCAATTGTAACAAGAACAACATACTTCATTTCAAAAATTGATTTGTAGTACCATTCGAAATGTATGTTTATTTATTTATTTTTTATTTGACATACTCGATTACACAATTTTCAAATTTACAATCAAAGATAATTTTAAAACGTTAAAAAGAACGTGCACGTGCTAGCTAGTAAAAATAAATTACACTAATTATCTAATATTTCTTCCTATGTCAACCTAGGAATTAGATCTTGTCGACCTAAATTCAGTGGGCGTGTAAATGTTGCTCAGATCGAGGGTATTTGGAATAACTTTTTCTTTTCTTCTGCTTAACACTAGGTGTTCAATACATATGGATCGTTGGGAAATGCTGCTTTGCTTCACCGATACGGATTCACCGAGGCTGATAATCTGTATGATATTGTGAACATTGATTTAGAGCTTGTCACAGATTGGTGTTCATCTCTATTTTCCAGGCGACACAGTAGAGCAAGAGTATCATTATGGAGAAAGTTGGAGTACTGTGGTTGTGGTAATGATAACACTGAATATTTTGAGATATCTTATGATGGGGAGCCACAAACTGAGTTACTGATATTATTATACATAATGTTGCTACCAGAGGACGCCTTTAATTATTTTGCTTTGACTACATCAGTATCAGGGAATTTTTGTGGTGTTATGTTGTGTGAAAAAGGGAAGTCCACTTGGATTGAGGATTCAGAGATTAGCAGGGATGTTTTGCTGACCAAAGATGTTCGTAAAGCTCTTGTGTCGCTTGCAGATATGCGGGAGAGCTTATATGGTTCAAGTTGTTTTGGAAAAGACCTCGGGACAGTATGTTGTGTACAAGATAGGAAGTTATATCATTCTTTGATGCTATGCGAAAGCGAGAGAATGATCCTTAAGAAACTACGAACTTATGCTGCTGTGGGTAGTCAGTTATCGAGTACTGAAAGGCGATCGTCTCTGAGGAAGGAAGCACACATGAACAAGTAATTTATTTATTTATGAGCTCATTCTTCTTGAGATTTTCACATTCTAGAGAATATTGAATAGTTGTGTTCCAGCTTACCAATTTGTTATACAATGACTTGAGTTATTACATCTCATTTTCACTTTGAATCATATTGGTCTGTAGATTCTCATTCAGGTTTACCTAAATGTGGGTTTCTGTACCACCCAGAATTGGAATGGATTATATGTTCAATTTTGAATTAGCAACCCAGGTTGGCTTTTTGAAAGTTATTTGGTAATTATAGCCTCCTATTAATTATTAGGGGTATGGTAAAAAAATTTAAGGAAATAACAAATTTAGCATCTATATTTTAGATTTGCAAATATAGCAACATTTTTAGGTCCAATAATAAAATGTCAAATTTAGCCTCGTAGCACTGATATACACTATTGATATAACTATGATGTCCACTAATATAACTTATATGATTATATTATTTACTATTTATTGATTTACCACTAATATATATGTAATATATAATTGATATGTCTTTGATATACCACTAATATAATATTTATATACAATTGATTTACGTTTGATACAACTATGATATCTACTGATATAAGTTCTTATATGATTATATAATTTACCATGCTGATGTAACAATTATATATAATGCATCTGTGATATATACTTAATATGTCTCTAATTTGCCATTGATATAATCATGGTATAATATGGACCACGGACGTAAAAAAAAAAGTTAAAAGTCTATTATACTTTATAAACTTAAATAACTAATATCTCTTATATTTAGTATCTAATTAATATATTAATATAGATTAGAGAGTTGATATACCAATCAAAATTATTGATAATATTAGTATATCAATCAACAAATTGTAGTGATAAACTACAATTTAAACAACCGATATACCATTGAAAATTAAACATTTGATATACCTTATTTTTAGCATATCAGTTACAAATATATTTAGTATACCACTGATATACATCACACGTACATTAGAGATATATCAGATGTATATCAGATAAGATATACATAGGTATATCATTACAAATATCTTTAGTATATCATAAATTAGAGATACATATAATGTATATTAGATGTAGATCAGAAGTATATCAGAGACACATCAGACGTATATCAGATATACATCCATCAGGCTTATATCATATATATATCGGGTGTATATCAGATATCATAAGGGTAAAACCGAAATAATAAAAATTCCGAAAATAAAAATTCAAATATTTTGCCATATTTGCAAACTACAAAAGAGGTTGACATTTTTGTAAATATGTACAAAAGTTTAGCTACCCAATACAATTTCCCTAATTATTAATACTTAGAAGGTTTGTGTAACCTATCGGGCGGGGTTTCCTCTACCCGACCCGTAGGTTGTCAACCTTTTTCGTCGTAATCCAATTTTGTTTCTCATCTGATAAAAAGAAAAAGAAAAGCATAGAGAAAGTGATGAGTTTGAATTATAGTAGGAATTGAGAGTCCAAACATTAATGTGGATTCTTGACAAATGTGCTTGTTTCACAAATATACTTTTCTAACTTATGCTTTGAAAGCTCTATTTTAGGAAAGTAAAATAAGTATACAAAAGTACAAGGAAAATAAAGTATATAGTAATAATAATTTTTATAAATTGATAATGGAGTAAACTACAACACATTGGCCAAGCAGAAATAAATAAATAAATAAATAAATAAATAAATAAATAAATAAATAAATTTAGTTTTTAATTAAATATAAAATATATCATGATAATTAATGGTGGATGTGATTCAGGTTTTACATTTAGGTATCATTGAGTGAACTTTCTCTTGATTTTAGGAAGGGATATGGAAAATAAAATCCTAAATTCTAAATCTTAGAAAATAATACAAATATTAAAAAAGAAAATCCTAAAACCTACAAAATCTAACAGATTTTAGATGTTAAATACAACTATGAAAAAGATCCTAAACTCTAATTTATTTATTTTTACGAGCTGCACTCTTCATTAATGAAGAGAAAAGATTTGAAAAAAGGGAATAAAATGTGAGCAGAAAATAGATTAATGCAAAAAAAAAAAAAACGGGAAGAAAGTAAAGGGCAACGCAAGTAAGCGCCACTCACCCATGGAGGAAGCATAGGAAAAATAAATCGGAGGATACACATTAACGTAAATATATTGAGCATTCTATTTTATTTTAAATAAAGGGGCGCTTGCAAAAGGGGTTTTCTTTTAATAATGTTTTTTTTATTATTTTCGAAATAACGCTGAAACTTATTCCGAAGATAATGCTTCCTCAGAGATGACCATAAACCTTCAACACTCTGATGGCGTCACGTCTGGTCTTTTTAAAAAAATCAAAACAAAAGAGATGATTAACTTGACACACATTTATGGTTGTCTCTTCCGAAGATGACTACTCTTTAAAAAAAATTATATATTGTAGAATAGTACATTAATAATAAAGTTATATGTAGACGTAGTGGGCTTAGTGCCAAATTGTGTCTTCTTCACGAGCTTGTGTTCGAAACTTATCATATGCATCTTTTACCAAAATAATTAAGCTTATAATAGGTCTCGAACAGAAGCGCACGAGAAAGACAGTTGGGAGATGAAATATTAATATTTTGTTCTTTTAAAAAAAAATCAACTATAATGTCTCTTAAAAAGACAACCACAAATGCACGCCTAGTTGAGAGATGACCATCTTTTTATTTTATTTTTTTAAAAAATCAGATGTGGCGACAACAAACCAAATGTTGAAGTGTTATAGTGGTCTCTTGAAGAGATGAATATGTATTAAGAAAGCATTATTTTCGGAATAAGTTTTAACAAAAACATTAAACCCTTGCAAAAGTAGAAAAAGAAAAGGAATTAGCAAAATTAGTAATGATAAAGAACCATAGTGCAACCGATTATAAGAACCCGTAATAGAATTATAACCTTTATAAAACAAAACACTAAAACCCAAAATTCAAGTGGTATAAACTCAAGGAAGTGCATGATGAATTACCTTGAAGATCAATATCAAGAGTAGATAAAACTTGTTTCTAAACTCAAGATTCGAACCGCTCCACAGGATAGTTTCATCAAGATTTACTTGAATGATCCTAACATGCAAAACTAACACTCAAGAATTGCAAAGATAAAAAACAAGCTCTAGGCTTTTGAAGCAAATTGCACTTTCATTCAAGAACAAATTCTGAATATTCAAGGGAACAAGCTGAACTATATATAGCCTCTAAAACAACCCTAAAAGTAATCTAAAAACAATTGAAAGGTTGTAATTCCCAATTACATGATGACCATAATACCCACTAGCTAAAATGTAACTTAAAATACTTAAATGAAATGTTTAAAACTGAAAATACTACAAAAAGTTCTTTGAATCCGAGAATTAAAGTTTTGGCCAGCCTTCAAAGTCTTTGTAACCTCCCAATTGTAAATGAAGCTTCACTTGAAGTAGTTTGAAGTAGCTTTAAGTGTAGTTCTATTGATTGATGACTGACTTGAAATAAATGAAGCTTGGGATACACTTGAGTCCATTTAATGCAATTTGAGTTCTTTGAATCCAACCTGGCTTTATTGAATGCAACTTTAAGTTAAAATTCACTTCAACTTCAACTCCTTTAAATGAACTTAGAGTTCATTTAATGCAACACCTCCCTTAACCTTTACTTGGAAGTTCAACTCCTTTGAATGAACTTAGAGTTCATTTGATGCAACGCCTCCCTTAACCTCTACTTGGAAGACGTTGAGTTGAAAAGTTTCATTTATCTCTTGACCATCCCTAGCCAAGCTCACCAAATATTGCACATGAGAAAGTAAAATTTGTTGAAGCTTTTTGGCACTTGATCTCGTTATGGGTC